CAGTGGTTGAACCTGCAAGCAGAGCAGATGTTCTGCCTTTAGACATGGCCCCCACCCCACCCTGGTCCTTGAAAAGCCTAGGTTAGAACCCTCCCCACACAATTCGCTTCCTGTGTCAAGGGCCCTGTATTTCTATGAAGGAGCAGGACTCTTTTTGTAGCAGGAACTCCTTTGCATATTAGGCCACACACCCCTAATGTAGCCAATCCTCCAAGAGCTTACAGAGCTCTTCTTACAGGAGCTACTGTAAGCTCTTGGAGGATTGGCTACATTAGGGGTGTGTCGCTTAATATGCAAATGAGTACCTGCTACAAAAAGAGCCCCGAGGAGCATTCAATCAGCCACCTCCTACAACCTGAAGGGCATCCCAGCACTACCATCATTGTGAGAACTACACCCTGACAACCACCAACACCACGCTTCTCAGCAGAGTCAGTTCACCCATTTGGCTGCCCGTCACTGTGGGCCAGGCATAACGGCCCTTCCTCTAATGGCCTCGTGCAATCGGAGATATACGAACACATGAAGCCACCTTATGGCGTCAGTCCATTGGTCCATCAGGGTCAATATTGTCTAATCTGACTGGCAGCGGCTCTCCAGGAACCCAGGTGGAAGTCTTTCACATCGTCTCGTATCTGATCCTTTTCACAGAATCATAGGTTTGGAAGGGATCTCCGGGGTCATCTAGTCCAGCCCCCTGTACGATGCAGGAAATTCAACTATCTCCCCCACACACACCCCCAGTGACCCCTGCTCCATGCCCAAAAGATGGCAAAAAAACAACACCCTCCAGGATCCCTGGCCAAACTGGAGAAAATTGCTTCCTCACCCCAAAGTGGCAATCGACATTTCCCTGGGCGTGTAAGAAAGGGCCACGGGAACTAAGCACTGAGGCAACCCTTCCTGCCCTCCCTCTCATGACCTGCCTAAGTTCACAGAATCCGCACTGCTGTCAGACGGCCATCTAGCCTCTGTTTGAAAACCTCCAAAGAAGGAGAGCCCACCACCTCCCGAGGGAGCCTGTGCCACCGAGGAACCCCCTCTGACTGAAGATGCTGGGGATGGAACTTGGGACCTTCTGCATGCCGAGCAGAAGCTCTACTACTGACCCACAGCTCTGCCTCTAGATCATTTTGTCGTCTCAGACCATTCGTGGACAGTGTGAAATATCATGACGAGACATAAGGGAGGGGAGGCAGTCTCTCAGACATGCAGGGTGCCAGCTACATAAACGATTCACAGTAATAAGCATTGGTCCCAGGCCATGATCAGAAGGCAGACGATGCCGCACTCTGGCAGAGGCTAAAAAGGGCTGTGGCTGGTCAATCACTGCCTGGTTGGGAGACTTCCTGGAAACCCCCTTGTGCCTTGTCTTGAGGTCCATGACGGAAGAAAAGTTGGGGTAGCAAAGATAACATGGCAAACAACATGGCGTCACCCCAGGTGAGTCTGTGAATCTGTCTGGGCCTGTTCACAGTCCACCAGCAAAGGATTCATCCCTCTCTCCAAACTGCAGACGAGCACTGAGTACCTGAATTGGATTGCAGGCTACCTCTGTGGACAGAGCTGCAATTTGAGATTTTAGCGAGGGGGACGGGGGAGATTTTCTGCGAGGTTTCCAGGTCTGCTCTTGGATTCACGTAGTATTCAAGGCGACAGTTTGGTGTAGTGGTTAAGTGTGAGCCAGTTTGGTGTAGTGGTTAAGTGTGCGGACTCTAATCTGGGAGAACCGGGTTTGATTCCCGACTCCTCCACTTGCTGCTGCTGCTGTGACCTTGGGTCAGCCACAAGCTCTGGCACAGCTGTCCTTGAGAAAGAGCAGTTTGTGTCAGAGCTCTCTCAGCCCCACCCACCTCACAGGGTGTCTGTTGTGGGGAGGGGGAGGGAAAGGAGTTTGTAAGCCGCTCTGAGACTCCAAGTGAAGGGCGGGGTATAAATC